AGAGTTGGCGGTGGGTGGTGATGACTAGCTGCCTTCCCTCTAGTCTTACACTGCTAAATTAGGTATGGCTAGCGCAGAGAGCCTTCGTGTAGCCTTGCACGAAATTCGTAACAAACCAAACCAACCCAAATGCAAAAACATTTTACATAAAAACTTAGACTCAATACCCTAGTCAGTATTTATGTGTAAAAAAAAATAAGAAAATATGGGAACTAGTTCTTGTACCACAGAAATCCCTTCCACTTGGTTTTACAATTATTGTACAAATAATGGTTTTGTATTGTTATTATTAGAGTTCACCAATCATTACCACCAGTGATGACTCATCTTTAACCTCTACTATTGGTTTAATGTTTTCTCATACAACATTCAATATAACTATATCACAGGCCTGAAGTGATACAAGTTTCTAGTCACTAGCATCTATAAACTTTAATTGATTAAAGAAATTAGTACACAGTAATGGCCTTTTGACATTCAGTTAACAAGAATGTTGTATTATATCTAGAATGGCTGTATGATAATTCAGAAAATCTATCTGAATATATCTGACTGAAGGTATGTTTTAAACTAGCTATGGAAGGAGGAAATTCATGACTATTTCAGTTATTACACTATCATATCATGACTCTTCATATACGAATCCTAATGGATATTTAATATTCACTAAAACATAAATCACTCGTACCATATCGTGATTCTTCAATCCATGTAACACTCCTAATCTTTTTTAATACATCGATCATTCCTACCAAAAAAATGACTCTTCAATTCATGTGCCACTTCTACTGGTTGTTTAATCTCTTCTAATATATCAATTGTTATTTTTCAAATCAATAAAACTTGCTTCTAACATGAAGTTTTTCCTGATCTAGTAAAATCTGATGACTAATTTGTGATGATGGCAATAACAAAAAACTAGGTATAATATCCCTAATTATTAAAAAAAATTTTAGATTTTGGTTCTTCTTGAGAACATTTTTATTTTCAAATATATATATATATGTGTGTGGCTATTAAAAGTTTGTTTTAATTATGTTTGTCAAACCTCTCAAGTTATTCAACTATCATTTAAAAATCTTACTCACCCCATCCCCAAATGTAATTCCATAGAAGAGGTGTCCTTACAAATTAGTTTGATAAACTTCTATAAACTCGGACTTTTCGGGATTTAAATTTTACGAGTTTGGCAAATCAAAATAACTTGTTTCCAAGCAACAACTTATGTAAATCTCTACGGAACAGTCCAAATTTATATGAAGTTTAAAATTTTATAGAGAATCGTAACCAACAGTGATAAAATTGTACAGTTCAAGATAGAAATTCTTACTGACTAGAGGAGATTCCATGTGGTTCGTAACAAAAACTTTTCATATTACAAACACAAAGATACCACCATTGTGTTAGGGGTACCCCAACAGTAATGTTAAAGGATATAAAAATTGCAAGGGCTTATTGACAAAAAAGGGCACTTTTCAAGGATCGTAAGATAAGCCTTTTTTTAGAGTGTGTGTGTGCTAGGGGAGACTATGGGGACTGTAGATTATCTCTGGTATACATACAGTAAAAAAGTCATAAAGAACAAACAAACCTTTTGTTCATAATCAGTTGGTCTTATAAACGCTTAAAATCTAAAACTAAACAATAAACTATTCCCTATTAACGCTCAACAGCATATTATAATTATTTTATTTTTAGTCCCTATGTGCCATTCATTTTAAAGCTTTATTGTTATTTTTTTTCAAAATAACATGCAGAAAGAAAGGTGTGGAATCAGGCATATTTTACAGTAGTTGTTGACATTTTTTTATGATTGAGAAAAAGGACACTTTTGGGGCAGGAAGGCAGAGGCTTGATCCAACCACCCACCCCACCTCTTGTGTACATCAATGTATCCCAAGATCGTCCTAAGATGTAGTTAATGAGTTTTAACATGTTCCCAAGTTTCTTAATACTTAACACTAATCCTTCAACATTAGTTTTTGTTTTTTAACTGTTGAACATTTTTACTAGTGTATCACACTACAAAGCTGGATACAATAACCACCTGCTATCTTTCCTTCCTTTTTTCTGTATTACTTATTAACTGGACTTATGTTCTAGGGCTGTATACTTCATAATTTTTTTTGTAACTTGGCAAATTCGTTGTAATCAGTCTGTATCAAAAATGTATATTATATCAGTTTAATTTTTCAAATACATGATGTTTTTTCACTTAAAAAAAATTGTTAGAAACTGGTGCAAAACTTCAAGAATCTCTCACTTTTTTTTATACTCTAAATTGTAATAAGAATAATGCATAAAACTCTGTTTTAAATATTATTTCTCAGTAATTTTGTTTCAAGGTATTAAATTGTAATAAAACCTTTGTGTGTTTTATAGGTTGTGCTAGAACAACTGGAAACATATTTTTAACTTCTCAATCTTCTAACCAGAGGAGTGGCTGAAATAATTGAGTAGTTCAATTACTTTGTTCACCAACTCTATTTAGAAAAACCAAATGAAACTTTAGTTTTGTGGCTAAGTATTGTTAGAATTTTACTAACTTAAATGTAGATTTTGAGACTAGGATTGAGAAATATGGTAGCATGTCATGCATATTTTTAATATGAAAGAGGACATTTCAATAGTTCTTTGTTGAAACGTGATTAATACATATAAGTTATCCATAGTTTTCTATTTACAATCGGAGAAATAACTACAAGCGCCTGAAAATTTCATAATCGTAGTCAGACCCCTACACAGAATGTTTGAAGGGGGGGGGTCTAATTTGTGAGATCAAAAGTCAACACATTTTGTGTGAAGCATAATCAGCATGCTAATGCGACTGGGGTCTAGGGACATTACCCCCAGAAAATTTGTAAAAAATAGGTACTATGAGATTAAATCTGGAAGCAATTTTCCATGAAATGTAGCTTAAACAATTACATGGCTGTTAACAAAACATCCAATGAAAAGTCAACAAATCATCATTCTGTTGTAACATTAGATGGAGAGCTAGGCTTAAATTAGTATAAATATGTATGTTGTATTACTGCGTGATAGTTTGTTACAGGTTATTTTATATATGGGTACTAACATTCGTAATATTTAATACGTATAAATTGTTACAAACTTGTACATTTAAATATGAAAAAGTATTTTGCTTATCACGCTCAATCTGGAAAATCTTTAACAGCTTGATCAAGACGCGGTCATTGTTTTATTTCTCAATGAGGTAAAAGTTATTAAGTTAGGTGAACTAACCTATGCAAACGTCACCAGTAACAATGCTGGTTATATATATATATATATATATATAAAGTTCAATACAAATATATGACATAGTAGCTTGATTATTAATAATAGGCTAATAATTGACGGAGTTTCGGAAAGTATGACTTAAGTAAAACTGACTAACCCGCCCTATTGTGTCATCATTTGCAACTTCATTTCGTAGTTCGATGTGAATGAGATTTATCACTTTAAGAACTTCTAATCTCATAATTCTAGACCTAGCCCCCCCCCCAATGGCACAGCGGCGTGTCTGCGGACTTGCAACGCTAGAAACCGTGTTTCGATACCCGTGGTGGGCAGAGCACAGATAGCCCTTGTGTAGCTTTGTGCATAATTAAAAACAAACAAACAAACTAGACCTACGTGATACACATCAGAATTTAATTGTTATTTAGCTATTTACATAAAATTTCTTTAATGTAAGTACATAAAAAGTTAATACTACATATCAAAATAAGAAGGAAGAATGAAATTAATAATAGCCGTTAGTTAAGTATGCTTTGAAAAATTGCTGTCAGTAGTACAGTGTATTATCACTTATCAGTGCCTCATCATTCAAGTAGCGTTGTAGGTACACGTAGTTGCAGTTCAGTGTGGTGTTTTGAAATCTTTTACGCACACAGTATTCTTATATTTCTACAGGAATTTCAAGAATGTAGGGTACTGATGCAATAAATTTACTTTTGTGAACTCTTCAGACAGACGAATAACAGATGTGGTACCCAATCTGTCATTCAATTAGTAGCACAAATGCTAAATATTCTTGAAATTATTATATAAATGTAGGATTACTATCTGAGGAATGGAAATTGCAAAACACCATACATATTATATACACTTCACCACTATATGAAGTCTAGTCTTATTCTTTTGATTTGGCTTTGTCCAGGGACGCTGATGAGGAAAGGAATTCCAATAGTAATACCGGCATAACTCTGTGACAAGTGATAAATTGGGCTTCACATTTATTTATTTTTATTAATAAAAGTAATCCTTATTACACAGATGACTGTATGTAGAAAGGGCATTTCCCTGCTATATTTCTATTAGTTTTAATATTTAATTATAAGTACCATTGACGTAAGTTGTCATTAATATTTACTCTATAAATTCTCTTCAAAGACGTTTACCATAAATGACCCAGAATTCCGATTGGAAGAACATCGAATATCGCTGTTGTCGTATTTATCTTTGTATGACGTATTTCCGGTTCCGGAACATGATCTGGAGCAATGCTAAACCTAGGACATAGTTACTGACGAGAGTTTTATCTTAAGTTTTTAGTAATTTTTTTATTGTAACTTATAAGAAGTTGGAAGTTCCCGTGAACATATGTAGAGAAATATCCTTCAGTGAATATATTTTTTGCATAGTTGTCGCGCTACTATCACTTCACATGTTTATATTTCTTTTACTGGTAATAAGACTGATTCAGTGATTGTCTTTCTAACTACGCAACGTTACTTTTTATCGAGTGAGTATTCAACTTCAAGGACTGAAGGCCCAATCACTGAATTTTAATCAAGCTTTCTTGGGTAAACATTGAATTTGACGACATCATCGTGCAGGTAACGAAAAAATAAGTATAACTATAAATTATAATGAAGTGCTTGAGCATTAACTTAAAGTTTTAGTTATAACTTAAACTTAAAACTTTCATTTTCAATAAAATTAAACTGTAAAAGGGATGGGTTGCTTAGCTAAATATCATATTGTCAGCGGTTTTTTTATTGATGTTATTTAAAAATTTTTTGACATTGTTTCAACTGCAATAAATTTATTCTAATTGTTTATCGCTTAAAGTCAAGTTAAGGCGAACTTAAACTTCAAAAAATTTAAAATAATGCATGTATTGTGAGTTTAATGAATTTTATATAAATAATGTTAAGTTCATGACTAGTTGCTTATAAAAGTTGTATATCTGTATACTTAGCAATCTGTAATTAATAATTACCTTATTGAGATGGTTGTAATATATTTTTTTTTATTGATTCAGTGCAGCTTTAACTTTTTGACAAAGAAAGTGCCAGAAACTGAAAATTGAAATTAGTTGATAGCTGAATTATTCAATACCAATGTATTGTTTAGTTAGTAATGGAATTTGGAAAGTGTTTACCTTCACTACTAGGGAACAAAATGGGAGCTTGTTTTAGTGGTGTTTGTTTTTTTATTATTATTTTAAAAATAAGTTTTAGTTGCCAGTATAAACTTTTGTCTGTTTGCACTGAGGAATGAGATGAACCAGAGGTTTACTTAGTGGGGGTATCAGATAAAGTTATTTGTGAGAAGCATAGAAAGACTAGAGGTAAAAATTTGCTTGACAGGTTCTATTATAGAGCATGTTGACACTTTAGTTGCTGGTATCAAGGAACATGTTTTGTAGTGCATGTAGAAGTCAATAGGTGGGCTGTTTTTTTTTTGGCTAAATGTATTGTCCTCTTAAAGCCTTGATGTGTTTGCAAGCAGTCTCGATTAGACTGATTTCAAGTGACATATACATACATAGTTAGGTAGGTGCTAAAGATGATTGGTTGGTTGGTGAAACATAGTAGTTTAAGTTGGTTGGTTAGTCATCTATTCATCAGACGTGTAAGGCTATCACTTTAGCAACAGTTTCTAAGGTTTGGTAATGTCGGGTTTCAAGAATTATATCCTTGAAATCAGTCTCATGAAGTTGGGTTGTCCGAGGTGGGCTCCACTTCAGTAGTTTAGGGAGAAGGATGTTTGGAGATAGGTTGTAGTGGTGAGGGAGTTTGGGGAATTTGGAATAAGCAGATTGATAGGATAACTAGGCCGATGAGGAGTTTGGAAATAGGAAACTTGTATCACAATAAGTTAAATAATAGTTTTAAAGATACACATAACAGGATGAAAGTACTGTTGTTCTAACGTTGGAGTGTTAGGAATAAAATAGATGAGTTAGACTTAGGGAATAATGATAATAGTAATTATTTTGAATTTCTATATAATAAGCTATTTAGTAGTGATAGACTTTCTAAAAGAGGATGGTAGGTTGGCTCTTTGTATAAAGAATGAGGATTTACAGCCTGTGAGGATTAAATACATAAAAAATAATAATCAAGGTGTTTAATCTATATGTTACAGTCGAGGGTTCCAGGGGGTAGAAAGTTTTTAAATGGCAATTATTATAGGCCATTTGATCAAACAGAAGAGGCGGTCATTGAGATAGCTTGTAATGAGCAGTGGTGGCTCTTCGGGCGAGGCGAGGCATTGCCTCACACACAATATCTATATTCTTTACCCTAATTTAAACACTTAAGCCAAATGTATTTGTTTAGACTGTATTAACTATAATAATTTATGAGAGTGTAATAAAAAAAAACATTAATCAATTACTAATAAATCTTTAATCGTGACTTAATATTTTTGCATAAGGAAATGGTAAGAACTTTCAAACATATAACACTAAATGTATCAGAATGGTCAGTTATCCTGCCAGTAGGAGAGATTGGTTGGCAAGCTGTATATTGCCTAAAGAGGAAGCGGGACGTGTGCCCCACAGAAAGGAAAAATTGTGTGTGTAACATACGTTGATTTTCCATTATTGAAAATTTGGTCATGATATAGTAGCATTTGCCTAACCTGTCAAAAAAAGTCACCAGCTGCCACCTGTCAAGACCACCAGTTGTCACCTGATACTAAGGTCAGGTTTACTACTAAGATGATTAGCGATGCAATCATTATAGAAGACTTAAATTCTAGTCATGTTGTTTGGGATTGTATGGAGTTAAATAGTAAGGGAGAGAGATCTGTTGAAGCGATTCTAAATGGTTTTCTGTACCTAATGGCTAAAGAACCAACCAGGAGGAAGGAGACGTGTTTTAGATCTTGTGTGAACCACTAATGAGGATATGGTTGTTAGTGTTGAAGTGAAAGGTGATCATTGCTTAATTAGGTTTGAGATAAAAATAAATTAAATTGTCTTTCCTAATTTACCAAAAGCCAACTCTGAGGCTAAGACAAGATTTATCATTAGTGAATTGGCACAATGAGTAAAAGGTTATTTGGGACTGACTTGAAAATTTTCAAAATTGAATAGCTTTTAATTCAAAATAGGCATCTAACTTCAAGGAGGAAAGGGTAAAAAGAATATCAAACCTAATTGGCTTATTTAAGACTAAAGTCAAACCTAATTGGCTTATTTAAGACTAAAGTCAAACCTAATTGGCTTATTTAAGACTAAAGTCAAACCTAATTGGCTTATTTAAGACTAAAGTCAAACCTAATTGGCTTATTTAAGACTTAAAGGAGAACATTGTGGATAAATGCCATAAAGTTAATATGGATTGGTTGGAAGATCATATTTCAAAATTTAAGTAAAAGTAATAATTCTAGTTATTATTTTAACAATTTTTTAACTCAAAAAATAATTTAGAAATGATATTTTGTCACTTTTTAACATTTATTTAGTGTATTCACAAAGAAAAATTAAAAACAATTTCTAGCTTACAGCTAAGAGGAGTATCGCCTGTGAATAACACACACATCAATTTGTTTTTATTTATCTGCCCATTCCAAAGCATAGTTTTTTACATCCTAAGAAACTATTGTATCTTAAATGCAACTAGTAAATATGTTTCTCTTGTAGTTTTCATTCTCTGTTTGGGGTTTCATTGTTCCAACCCCTTTTATGAACATCTATTAAAGAATTGAGGATGATGACAAACCCATTCGAAGTAAATATACGTATAGTAAAAAGGGCCGATATTGGCCTTAAAACTTTTATTTAAAACACAAACCAAGTAACAATGTTTTGACCTCCTTAGGTCATTATCTTGACCTGATGATGATCAGTTCCCCTAAATATTCTTATAAACTTCAATAAGATCACCTTTCAACCTCCTTTTTTCAGAGAGAAGACAAGAGATCATTAGTTATTTCAGTGCATATGTATTCACATGTATGATGTATTAAGAGTTTTTTATGCTACTATTTCTGTTGCAGAAGCTGAAACTGCAAAAATGATGGCCCCAACAACAACAATTGAAACGGTGACTGTGGTTCGACCACTAAAGGTACGATTTATACCAGTCGTTTGTAATGGTACTGTGGATCAGATATTTAAGTGCTTTTTTTTACTATTTTGTTCGCTGTATGTATAAAATTATACAAAAATATGTCTATTCTTGGAGGTATAGTTATAAGAAGTAACAGATGGCTTAAGTTACAGAACACTATCGTGTGTATGCGACACAACAAGACTTGTAAAATATCTCTACATGATTAGAGAGAGAGAGGGGACAGACAAGTGTATCGATAGAAAACTAATTTTTTTCTCTATTTTCAATATTAAATGTTTGGAATTAATAAATAGCTGAAAAAAATAAAATTCTTAAGTCAACAAACAGCTTTGATTTTGTCTTTATAATGATGATATATCTGTCTACTTATGTAGACAGATAAAGAAGTATTTTTGATACTTATTTTGTAGTTGCTAACAGTAGTAGATAGAAATGATAAAAAGAGTATTTAAATCTGATTAATAATGATGTTCTTATTTTGAACTTGACGAGGAAGAGACAAAACAAACGTAGACTGACGAGAGCCTGTATCGGAAGTAGCCAGTCCACAGTGCACAAAGCAAAAATGCCTGTCATGTAGAAATTATGAAATATTGTGGCACATAAAACAAACGCATGAAATTTTATTATTAATATTATTAATTATTTCATTTAATTTGTAATGCCGTTTATTTTAACTGTATAAATCCCCCTCTTTCTTGTCATTCCCATGGGTTTTGGTTTGGAGTGCTTTTTCAGGGCAGTGTCATCTTTTTCAAAATTCAAAACTGCTAAAAGATAGGTACCTCAGGCCTATATGTTCCAATTGAACTGATTAGAAGAACCTTTTCTTTTTGTGAAGATTTGTAAAAAGACTTATTTTCCAAACTTGTTAAATTTAAGTTAAACTGTTTTATAAACTAGTTTGTTTTTTTAATCCAAATAAAACATGAATTGGAAAAAAAATGGGCCTATGTTTTGTGCATTTTCTAGTGTTAGTGTTTAGGATTTCTAAAAATTTGTGCAACATTTTAAGGGTGGTTTTGAACTAAATATGTGTTTTTTATCTGAATAGTTCTGATTAGAGCTGGTGGTTAGTGAAACTTGCTAATTTATTTAGTTGATTATTCTCTCAAGATGATTAAAAAAAATGTTTATTCCCACAAGTTGACTAAAAAACAACATTTATAACCATATAAATTAGGTTTTACTACTTGCAGTGGGCAGAATGCAGCCCGTTATGAATCTCTGTGCTTAACAACAAATAGATATAATATTTCAGTTACTTATTAGTTGATGTAATGAAAAATTATATTAACTGGATACCCTAATTTTGATTGGTTGTGAGTACGGACATTAATCGTTTGAACTGAAAAAAAATTGAATTAATCAAAATTAATGAAAAATTATAATACTAATATTTTGATTACTAGATAGTTTATTTTCAAAACATTAATCAATGTTATATATTGGAATAGTTGAAGTAATTAGAAACATCAGTTTTAATTCACTGATATATTTATTTATATCAAAATTCCATTTTTATATTTTAATATTTGTTAATAGACAGAGGTTTTCGTATTTGTTAATAGACAGATATTTTGATATGTCTTAACTGATTGTTTGAAAGAAGGTGTTAATTATAATTTGGTTCCTTATCAAGATACAGTATTTTCTACTGTTCACTACTACGTTGTAATCTGTACAAAAGAAATAGTGATAAAACTACAAAGAAAACTGTGTTAATAACATCTATTTGTTATACCGTTAAGAGGTTATCTGTTGTTCTTTTTTATATCAATGAAAATTTTCAAAAACTGTTCTTGCGGGAATAAAAATATTTATGAAGTCTAAATTAATTTTAAAATTACCATAAAGACCCATAGTAATAATTGTCTTGTTGGTCATATCTTGGATAAAGTAATTCCATGTCTTTCTGAGTTGTTTCTTTTTTTTTAAATAGCTTTTGGAGTTTCATGGAAAAATCTGTAACGTATATTTTCTAGCATGTAACCAAATACATCAAGAGAGGGATGTATGCAGTTTGATGTGTTGTTGTTGTTGTGTAATGGTGCTGTTATTAATTGTTATTTTCATCTGTTGGTTAATGTTATTCTTACCACATCAGGATTCAAGATATGGTATAATTGTAAATAA